CCCTCCCTCCTACTATTAGTTTTTCTTGATCACACATTTTGGGTGCACCAGGCTTAACTTGGTAAACAAACTAACCAATCTGGGTCAATTGTGCAATCCGTGCAGGTGTTAACTGGCAAAACAGATTTTAAGAAACGAAGCAAGGTTAGATAGTTGTGTGCCAGCAGCTGCTACGTCTTAATCCCACTGGGGAAGGGCAATTGTGAAGCACATCCTTCTGCCGTGTGCAGACGTGGCTCCACTTGGGAATATTGTTGAAAATTCACAGAGGGGGGGGGGGAAGAAGAGGGGGTTCCAGGTGGACTAAATCCACCACCCTCCCAGAAATGAATTTTCTTCCCACGAGAGATCAGATGCAGCTGATTCCAGCCAGCCTGGAAGCCAATTGAGAGTTTGCTCAGCCTTCGTTCCCCCCTCCCTGGTCCCAGGCGAGATGAACCTGGAGGAACCTCCGCCAACATTAGCAGAACCTTTCTCACCAAGAGCCACAAGGAGCTTTTTTCTCCCTCAGAAGCAGCAAATTTGGTTGTGGACTTTCAAATACCTTGGAGAGAAAATGCCAGGCACTCGGCAGGAAGCGGCCCAGTCAGTTCCTGGCTTGATTAGGGAAAAGGCAGCTGATCTGCCACAATGCCTGTCCTCACCGTGGCTTCGGTTGAGCTTGCAATGCGAAAGCGCTCCGTTATCAGCTTGTTCAGCCGGAGGAATTTTTCATCGTTGTACTGGAACCGATCCCCAAACACAACGGAGCAGATGACGTTGGAGACGGCTCGACTGAGAAGGAAGGTGGGGTCGAGGGGCGTCCCTGGAGAAGAGGCAGGGGAACCGTGCTGGGCCTTGAGCGTCCCCTCACTCTCTCCGGGCTAAGCTTCCCACCCACCTGCCCAACATTAATAGCACCCAGTCTGGAAAGCTGGCTGACTGTCCAGCAAGCCATCCTGACAAAAACCGCAATTGAATGTGGACTCCAAGTCCCAAATCCTGACTTCCGAAAAGGACCACATTGCAGGGAACCTGATGTGGGGAGGAGGCTCAGCTGCAGAGCCCAGGAGCCCCCACAGCAGGTGAGCAGCAGGTAAGCCTGGCCCAGGGAGGGGAGGGCTTGTGGGGCCCCTCCTGTCTGTGGCATTTGGACAGAAAGGGGAGAAGGACGACTAGCCGTGACGATCTCTGGGATCAGCCAGGATCAGCTCTGGGAGGACGGCTCAGATCCCAGGGTAGAAAACGGAACCTTCCTCTGTTGGGACTCAAAAGGAATTGGAAGCGGGAGACATCCTTCCCCTGGTTCGACCTATCCTATCCTTCTAACTCAGTGTTTTTCAACCTTGGCAACTTGAAGATGTCTGGACTTCAACTCCCAGAATTCCCCAGCCAGCATTCGCTGGCTGGGGAATTCTGGGAGTTGAAGTCCAGACATCTTCAAGTTGCCAAG